AAATGACTGCATGAACACAAGTCCACACCAACATGCCGTTCCACAGCGACAATCCAGCAATCGTGTGTGCATGCAGCTGCCATGCCGTAACCGAGGTCCTGAATCCACCGTGCTCGTCATCCAAGGTATACATTTTTTTTCTGATCACGGGGTGGCTCAAACCGACATCCTTTACCATACAAGGGATTGGGAGTCTTGGCAACTTACACAACGGCATGCAAAGATAGAGGATGTAATCGAAGGGTATTTGTACCTTAAAATATATACAGCACATGGTTTGTTGGTGGCAAGGAAAGCAAATTCATCCTCAGGCTTGTTTCTTACGATGCTGTTGATAGTGTACAGTGGCCCAGGTTGTCTGGTTGGTGCAGTTTCCATAGAGAAGGCAGATATTAGACAAGTGTAGCTGCTACAATTACCATTACTTAAGCATGTACTTTTAGGTTGTCGCATTCCGGGAATCGACTGATGGTCCACTAAAGCAGCTGTCCTTCCTAATAGACATATTTGCTATTTTACCAACCAGTAGCCGGCTCTCCATTCGGCTTCCAGGATCCAAATCCAAGATAGTTCTAGTAAACATTGTCGTCCTACACAGCCCGGAAAAGAAACTTTGTTTTATGCAGAGACAAACTTGGCGTACTTGTCTTTGGATTGTGTCTCGTATATTTCCTGTATACATTCTGGAAGCCGTGCAACGATCTTTGCTGGGGGGCCACCAGCAACCACAGAGAACGAAGGAACCACGGTGTTTGGTGCAATCACAGCGCCATCCTCAATTTCACAGCAGTCCTTGATGATGGCAAACCTGCCTATGACGCAGTTCTTTCCAATCTTCACAAAGGAGCCTACCGACGCTGCCTCGATAATTGTGTTCTCGCCAATATCAACGTGGTCCCCGATCTTTAGCGGATAGTAGCTAAACACACCCTTGTATGTCTTGTAGGGCGGGCGCAACACAGAGGACTCGCCGAGAGAGCAGAATCTTCCGATAAGCACAGAGGCCTGGTGGCTGCCACCTGCACGGCGTAGGTCGCCTCGAATGGTGCATCTGTTGTGAACGATGGTCTTGCCGCCCAGAACAATGTTCTGGCTACCGGAAATGAGCGAACGCCGGCTCACCTTGTTGCCGGTGTCTGTCTCGATAAACTCATTTCTGTTATATGTCGTATGTCCAAGCTCCATTCCAGAGGCAAAAAAAAGAATAGCGCCAGCTGTGCAAAATGAAAAAAGAAAGAAATATAGTACAGCAAAGCAACAGTGTAATGGCCAGGCGAGAATAGAGGCAAGCGCTGGCAGTGAGGTTGCTTGTTGCTTGTTGCTTGTTGCTTGTTGCTTGTTGCTTGTTTGTTGTTGCCATAGCAGACTCAGCTCGGCCGTGACTCAACGAACCGGTGCATATAACTGACCACACCACTCAAGGGCGACTCGGCACAAAACTTTTGCTTTGTGTGAAGAGGCCGCAAGTTTCGCATTCCGGTTCATCTCCCTCTTACTCAAAAAGTCGCATTCAAATTCGCTGCAGTCTTTGCCATTTACCCCCTTGCTCCATCGGCAAATTAAAAGGAACAGTGGTATACCAGAAACAAACCGCACAATGGCCACCGCTACATCGTTCATTCGCCCCGCCACGCGGCCTGATGAGATTCACAGCTTGCTTACCGGAGTCGAGCGCTACAATCCCCAAAAGACCGCCATTCTGGAGGACTATCTTGCTCGCCAGTGCGCCAACCCGGACCCTACCAACAACCACGACCTGATGGCCAACCTGGCCTTGCTCAAAATGTACCAGTTCAACCCTGATATGGTTGACCTCGATGTTATCCGGCGTATTTTGGCAAAGGCCCTTATTTCGCAGTCCCAGGGCGACTTTAACCTCTGCTTGTACCTTCTCTCCAGCGAGATCTGCAACGATGCCTCCATCGCCAAGCTGTTGACGCTTAGAGACTACCTGGAACGCGCCCAGTTCGTCAAGTTCTGGAAGGAGATGTACGGAAACGACGACGACGACGACGAGTCTGTGGTTGACGGCATTGCTGGGTTCGAGAATGGTCTCCGCAAGCTGATCATCGGAAATATCACCAGCACCTACCAGACCATCCCAGCAAAGGCTGTCGAGGAGATGATCAACCTGGACCAGGAAGCCGTGCTTCGTCTCGTCAAGGAGCATGACTGGTCGATCGACGACAAGGGCGTCATTTCGCTGCCCCTGAAGAGCGAGAACGAGGCCAAGGCGACCGTCATCAAGGAGAGCATCAAGTTTGAGCAGCTGACCAAGATGCTCAGTGCTGCAAACGAAATGTAGCGCCTTTAAAAAGGAAACTAATGCCTGTTAGCACCTCCCAATTGCGTTGGTCTATTCTTAAAGCATAAGTCACTCTTATTCCCAAGCCATCTTGTCAAGGCTGGAGCCACTGTGTGATAGCGAGAAATACATCCATGTCATACATGTGGCAATGGTGTAGCAGCTCAGTATTAAAAAAAAAACCCACAAATGCGTGGGCCACATTCTACTGTGTTTGAGGTGCGGGGCTCGCCTCAAAGTTTTGCAAGGTCACGGTAGACATGAATCCAGGGATGCTGCCTCGCTCTTGCACCCAGTATCTAATGTCGTTGCCAAGCCCCTTCAAATACGATTTGTTCCCGCCGCCCGATAGTTTCATCACTCCTTGGTTGTCGTCGCCGCTAGTAAACACAAAGCTCTGGTCGACATCGCTCGCATACATAGACGTGAATCTCACGCCGCCGTTCGACAGGAAATCAACACGATACCCAAGGATGGAATACACCACCTCACGCAGCTCGGCAGCCTTCTTCTTCCACTCCTTCTTGTACCTGCGCATGAGTTTGCCTGAATCTTCGAGCTGTCGTGTGAGGTTCTGGTTCTCCGCTCGAAGGTTGCTGATGGTATGGAAGAAGGGTGATTCTGTGGACGGATCAGCAGCACCTCTCTCTGCTGCAGCACCATCGTCATCGGCGTCCATTGCCTCTGCTGGATTTGCGTCCTTTTCTAGCTGGCTGATATGCGCCAAGAGTGCCTCGTTCTCTGCTGCCAGCGCCTTTAGCTTTTCGGACCGAATAGCATAGTCCTGGGCAGACGGGTTGTCTATGAGCTGGAGGATACGTGTGGTTCTAGGGTTGTAGCCGAGCCCGCTGCCGACCTGGTGCTCCAGGCGTGCTGCCTCCCTTTCTAGGGCCTCAAACCGCTCCAACAGCTGCTGGTGCTCCTTTTTAGCCGCCTCAAGCTCACGCTCCTTCGCCTCTGCATCCTCGCGATAGCTCTGCAAGATCGACGACGACACGCGCTCCTTGCCATCCTCCGTCTTGGCACCAGCACGCCCAGCCTCGAGGTTGCTGCCACTCGCTGCAGCCTCTTCCAGCTCTGAAACCCAAGCACGCTGCTCGTCAATAAACAGCTCCAGCTGCTTTATCCTATCTGCCTTTTGCGCGTCGTAGTTGCCTGCCATCATGCTAGTCTCCTCGCTGTCGTAAGAGTGAAGCTGGCTACGCAGAAACTCTGCTTCGCGCGCGGAATATTGTTTTGAACGCTCCAGCTGAATGGCCCTGCGCTTCTCGGCTGCAATCTCTTCTTCCAAGCGGGAGCACTCCTTCTTATATGTCGATGATTCGCGTGCCATGGTTTGCAGCTCCAGGGCTGTGGTGCCTACAGAATGCTGCAAGGATTCGACTTTGGTTTCAAGCAGCGAAATCGTATGTCTTTGCGACGAGACGGTTTTGGCTACAGCGTATGGCGAATCAAGCTGACCATCTTTCAGGGTGCGACTAGCAGAGCGTTGACTGGTGTTCTCCTTGTCGTTGTACATTTCTGGTCCCTGGAACACCTTTCGCCACTGCTCGCGTTCCTGCTGCAGCACGTTGAACCGGGCCTCGAGATCAGCGTGGCTTTCTTGCTGCTCCTCAAGCCTCTGAATCTTGGCCTGTAGGGCCTGGTTGGCTTCTCGCTCCTGCTCATACCGGTTCGCAAGCTCGCTGAGCTGGCCCACGTCGGAGCGCAGCTGGCGGTTCTGCTGCTCAACGGCCTTAATGTATGCGCACTGCTCGTGCAAGTCAC